TGCACTTGCCGCAGGCTGCCATCTGGGGAGAGGGGGCAATTGGGGGGCTGCAGGAGAGCTTCCATCCCCAGAAGCCCACAGAGCCTGCCCAGTTCTCCCCATCGGGGGCGCATACCCCATTCCTCCCTCACCTCCTTCCACTTACCCTTCCCTAGCCCCTCTTCTTGATGAACAAAATAAAGGACAATTGTTTTCAAAAATGGAATCTGTCTTTATTGAACAAAACTGGGGGAGACTGGGAAAAGGAGGTGGGAGGGGGAAGAGAGAGGGTGGGAGAGGGGAGGGCAACTAAAATGATCAGGGGTTGGGAGAGAGGGTACATACAGAAAAGTTCTTCATTAGTTCCCATAAAGAAGGACTAGAGGACACCAAAGGAAAGGAATGGGTAGCAGGCTTCAAACTAGTAACAGAAAGGGGTGGAGAGGGTGCATACAGAAAAGTTCTTCATTAGTTCCCATAAAGAAGGACTAGAGGACACCAAAGGAAAGGAATGGGTAGCAGGCTTCAAACTAGTAACAGAAAGTTGTTCTTCACAAAGCAAAGAGTCAACCTGTGGAACTCCTTGCTGCAGGAGGCTGTGAAGGCTAGAACTGGAACAAAGTTTAAAGGGAAGTGAGATCAAGTCATGGAGGTTGGGTCCATGGAGTGCTATTAGCCAGGAGGTAGGAGTGGTGTCCCTGCCCAAGGTTGTGTGGTGGGGGGCGGGCTGGAGGAAGTGAGGGGTGATGGGTTTGGGGTATGCCCACAAAGAGGAGGAGCTGGCATAGCAGGAAGGGCCCTCATAGGGTTGGGGGGCTGGAGGCAATGAAGCGGTGGCAAGGCCCATGTGAGGTTGTAGGGGCCAGACTGGTGAAAGCGAGATGGTGTGGAAGCCCACAGAGTTTTTTGGGGTGCTGTCGTGTGATTCGTGGAGGGGTTGGTTGGTTCCTTTGGTAGGTTGGAAATCTTTAGTCAGGTGAAATCCTGTTGGACTGGAATTCTCGTTTCCCATGGAGAGCTGGCAGCGGTGGGCACCTACGCTGGTAGACCTGCAGCTGGGCGACATGGCTTATAGCATCCAAGCTTAAATCCTTTGGGTAAGCCCCTCTGCACCCCAGGAATGGAAAGGGTCAGCATAAGGGCTTGTATTTAAACACAGTGTATCCCTTGTGGGTTGGGACCTGTCTCCGCTATTCTCGAGTAGCAGAAACCAGGAGCACGCTGCTCGAGAAACAGATAACCCCAGGGGGTTGAAACCTCCCTTGATCTGTACTCTGAAAGGTCGGTAACACAGGGCCCCCAGTGCTAGACTCAGGACTGACTTGAAGGAAACAGTTCATATCTTCTGAGTCACTAGCGCAGCTTCCTGCAGCAGCTGGTTTGCATAATGCCTCTTGCATGCTTGGGATTGTGAAGTTGATAACTAGATTTTGTGACGAGGCCAAAGTAAGAGCTCTTATGCAGGCAGCAGACTCAGAGGGAGGTTGATTGGGACTTCTGGGTTATCTTTGAGAGTAGTGTCCTGCAAATGGATGTTAGCTTTCACCTCTGCACAGGTGGGAGGACGCTTTTCTGGAGTACGATGCTTCTCAGAATGCAGCTCCCTCTGCCTGCTCTGCAGTGCCACTGTGAGGATGAGCATCAGCGCTGCTTTTTCCAGATGCAGCCTCGGCCATCGGGGGTGGGGGCTTCGCTGCCTAATCTGGAGTTTCCGTCCTGCTGCCGGGAGACAAGCACGCCTGAACTGCTAGCTAATGGGGCTCCACGCACAGATAGCTGGACAAAGGGTTGCATGTTTCTCCGAATAACACGTGTATTCTGGGGTGGGTTTCCCACAAAGTGGTCCAGAGCTAGATGAGGTAAGAAATTAAGAGGAGATGCAAAGGATAGAATCACAGCTTCCTAAATGATCCAGGGAGCCAGCGGATGGCTACGTTAAGGCTGTCGCAGAGTAGACAGGAGCTGTAGAGGAGGAGGCGGCTCTCGGGCCAGCATCCACTTAAGCTTTGAGTGGTCTCAGAGCCAGCTGGTACAAAGGGGATGGAGGCAGAGGAGGTTTATGAAGTCTGCTATGGAGGGTTTTTAAAACCAGACAAACTTTGACCCGCTGAAGGCCTGGCTGAGCTTACTGTCAGAGGTGGGGTGGGGATAAACAGATCGGCAAGCTAACAGTGACCGGCATCGGTGTGCACATTGAGACTTCAGGGGTTTCTGGAGTGGTTCTCAGGGCCTTTCTGCAAAGCTGGAAATTGTCTGGTTTCCTTCCTGGTACTCTGAGTGGATTATCCGGGAGGAAGTGGACAGGCGCTTGGAATGTTCTTTGCTGGGAGCAGAGCGCTGAACATGGAGATGGCTTTGTGCTTTTGCCATACGCTGACTTAGTCCATCAGTAATCAGTGAAGAAGGAACCTCAGAATTCATTCAGGCTGGCCTCC